ATGAGAAACTCAAGATCTTGTGGGACTTTAGGATTCAGACTGACAGGCACTTGGTCCACAACACACCTGACATAACAATAGTTGAAAAGAAAAAAGTATGGCTCATTGACATTGCAATACCTGGTGATGCACGGATTGAAGATAAGCAGCAAGAAAAAATCACAAAGTACCGGGACTTGCAAATTGAAGTTGAGCGACTGTGGAAAAAGAAATTGTGTGTTGTCCCGATTGTAATTGGAGCCCTTGGAGCAATACCCAAAGGGCTACCCCGCTACTTAGAAATTCTAAATTTGCCGGACTTGAACATTTTGACTCTACAAAAAACCACCTTACTCGGAACAGCTTACATCCTCCGACGATACCTTAACAGTTCCTAGGTCCTTGGTTAGGACTCGAGCTGCTGAGCTATTAACCAGCCTTAAAGGCTGTGAATCTCACTAAAGATTAACATAATAATAATAATATCATCCCTGTGGGATATCACTACTATATGGTTAAAGGTGCATCATGGAAAGGCCCTATTCAGTTTGCAGGCAGTCTGAAGTATCCACAAAAACATTTATTGAATATAGAGTAACAAAGATGATTTAGGGGACTGGAGCAGTGATGGGTTCCTCCCGGTTCGGCCGAGCCGGTAGCCGTGACGATATGACATCCAGGTCATGGTTGTCCCAAAGATGCTTTTTCAAAAGTCAACTGGGCTTTCTTTGTTTTTCTTTGAAGAAACAAAAAGCTTCTTGTTCTGAAGAACTGAAGAGGCTTCTCGGATGAGAAACGAAACTTTTTTTTTATTTATTTCATGCAACTTGCAATTGCTTTTCTTTTTTCCTGAATTGATCGAAGAGGTCAAACAATGGAAAGCAGGAGGGATTCTTTAGGGAAAGCAGAATTGCTCCAAAAATGCCCTGACTTTGCTTTCCAAAAAAAAAGTCCACAAGTGTCTATGGGGATTTTCAGTCATGGTCTTCAGAAGCTGAAGAAGCTTCTTGGATGAGAAGCGAAACGTCTTCAAGGAAAAACAAAGGACGTACAGTTGCCTTTTGAAAAAGCACTTTTGAGTAACGTAGAAGCATGACTTGGCTCATCTTCACAGGATTTCACAAATACCGTATTTTTTGGAGTATAAGATGCACCTTCCCCCCCCTTAAAAGGGGGTGAAAATTTTGGTTCCTCTTATATACCGAATGTAGCCTCACCCACACACTGGCCCCCACCCTTTGGCCTCTGCCTTGCAGCAATTTACCTCCTTGCAGCAAGCAGCAAGAAGAAACAGCTCGTTTTAGCTTCAGCACAGCTTAATTAGCACAAGTTGATTGGATCTGCCAACCGACTCTCAGCTGTTTTGCTCTCAGCCGTTTTATGCGGGCCTCTGCTGCTTGCTGCAAGGAAGTAAATTGCGGGAGCATATTTTTTCCCCCTTTGTGCTAATCAAGCTATGCTGAAAATGAAAATGAAAGTAAAGCAGGCTGTTTGCTGCAAGGAGGCAAAATTGCTGGGAGGCAGAGGCAGATTTCTTTTTCTGGTTTTCCTCACCGAAAAACGTAGGTGCGTCTTATAGTCCGGTGCGTCTTATACTCTGAAAAATACGGTATCTGTATTATCTGCATGAGCAGGAAGAATGCAAAAAAATGACCAGCAGTTTTCAAGATTGCATAACCAAGGGAGCCTGTCAATTGAAATATAATGCAGTGGTTAAGAGACATGCTGTTTTTCTTTTGTCTCTTTTCATGGATATGCTGGGTTAAGGCAATGGTGCTCCAGAGGAGAACTTATTGCTATCACATTGTGGATCAGCCAAGACTTAATAGAATTGTAGCTTTTGAACTTTCTTGATGTTATCAAGCCGTCTCCAGAGGGATCCAGTTTTTATGCTGGGCCTAGAAAGTGAACAACAGTTGAAACAAACAGGAGGAAAATAATACCAACCTTGAATTATACTTCTTGGCTTCTCTTCTTATGGGACAGTGATGGCTAACCTTTTCCAGACCGTGTGCCCAAAGTGTGCGTGCAAATTTATTTATTTATTTATTTTATTCAATTTGTATACCGCCCTTCTCCTAGTGGACTCAGGGCGGTGCACAGCCAGAACTAAAACACATACCAATACAAAATTTAAAATTATTAAAAGAATTACATACTTTGGCCCAAATTTAAAACAATTCGAATTAAAACCCACTGACAAATTAAAAGCTAAAAAACTAAAAAATTAAAAAAAGGGGGGGGTTTCACTCCAGCCCTGCTTGATGGAAAAGAAAATTTTTCAGGGCACGGCGAAAGACCCGGAGATCCGATATCCTTCGTATCTCCGGGGGCAAATCGATCCAGAGGGCAGGAGCTGCCACAGAGAAGGCCCTGCCCATGGGGGTCACCAGCCGACATTGCCTGGCTGTGTGCGTGTGTGCCCAAAACCCCAAAATGCAATGCGTGCGTGGCCCCGCAGCATGCACCCCCGCGCAGACGCACGCGGCCCTGTGAGCAGGCACATGTGGCCCCCCTCACGCAGCCTGCCCCCCCATGCAGGTGCATGCCCCCCGCAGGTGCTCCACCCCCTGCGCAGGCGCACGTGGCTCCCCCCACGTGCCCCGCCCTCCATGCAGGCGCGGCAGAGACGCAAAGACCAGCTGGCCAGTGGGAGGCGTGCATGCATACATGGCGGGGTTGACCTAGGGTGATGGTTTGCGTGCCAACAGAGAGGGCACTGTGTGCCACCTCTGGCAGGGGTGCCATAGGTTTGCCATCACGGTTGTAGGACATAATAGTTTGCTAAAGAGTGCCCTTTACAATAGTCCATTGGGTTTCTGGTACTGTTGTGGCCCGTCAGCGGCCTGTGCAGCTAGTAGCTGATTCAGAGAGCAAGGAGGCTGGTGTGGTGCTGCACCAGCAGCCTGGGCAACTGGCACTCGAGTCAGACAATGAGGAGGCTGGAGAAGCTGTGGTGCCAGAGGCGGGGATTCAGCTAGGGCCTTCAGAACCTCCAGAAGCTTCCATAAGTGAGGAGGACGAAGAGGAGGAGCCTCTTCTCGATGCACGGGCGCGCAGAGCTGCCAAAAGGCAGGAGTGGCTCCTCAGGAGGAGGTCTCCTTGAGAGTAAGGCTTGGGGCTAATTGGCCACTTCCTTAGCCTATTTAAGGAGGAATGCCGACTGAAGCAATTTGCAGGGAACAACTTCGTTCACATACCTTCGTGTCTTGTCTTGCTTATCTTATCAGCTTCCTGCAAATTGCTTCTGGGCATTCTGCCAACCACAGTAAGCTTTCCGTATTATTCTTTGAATTCTTGGCGGCTGTTAATGCAGTTAATTAACAGCCGTTGTTGTAAAAAACTGGTTTATTTAGTAAACTAAGGTTTGAACGGACTTTGTGTGTGCTGCGTTCTTTGGGGTCCGTAGCTGGGGCAGAACAGGTATGGCTTGAACAGGATACAGGTTGCCATTCGTTATGATATATTGGGGTGGCTCAGTCCTTTTTATCTCCTGATCTTCATTCTTTCCCCCTATATTTTCTGCTTTAGTTTGTTCTGGACTGACCCCCCTCTTCTGAATCTCTTGAGGACCAAGCATGAAAGCTGATCTGTTAAATACTGTTTATATAGTGCATACATATGGCAGAAAATTGGTGGATGCTTGGACTTACGTTACTTTATGTTAAGAAAGATTGATGATTTATTTCATTTGGATATCACATCTCGATTTTGTGTTTGTGACGGAAAAAAAACCTTTGACTTTGTTGATCAGAAAAAATTGCCGTTATAGAAATAGCTAGTTATATATTCATGTGTAAAAGCAAAAAGTTGGGAGTGTTTTTATCTTGTATTGTGCTAAGAGGCGGAAGTCAATGCATTTTCCCCCTTTTCCTCCCCTTGTATCTCCCACCCCCTTTTTCGCTTCTTTTCCTTCCCTTAATTTCCTATTTCTATTTGTTTTTTCTTTATATTTTATATAATAAAACAAATTAAAAAAAGAAAAAGAATGGTGATCGCCAATAAAAAAAATCCCAACTCTGCTATTTATTAGTTTGTCTAACCATAGCTTGAAGTGATTTTTCCAACGATAGGAAGCACATTCCTTGATCAGCCTTTGAAGTCTGTCCATCTCAAGGAAAAATTGGTGTAATTATATTCTTAACTGCCACTCACGGACAGATGTCCTTCACAGCACATCTGTCATCATCCCTAATTCAGACGAATTCCGATCATTCTGCTTTGAGGGGCCCCTTATTACCTCCTTACATATTTTCCAACCAGGAGTATACGACTGTGTATCAACCTTCACCTCTCCCCTTGATGATTCCTTGATTTTTAATTCATTACCTAGGAGGGGTAGAGTCATTTAAGACCAAGCTCTTGTGCGTTTTTATTGCCTCCTTTGACTGCAGTTATGTTCTAAGACCCAGTGGCTCAGCGGCTAAGACGCTGAGCTTGTCGATCGAAAGGTCAGCAGTTCAGCAGTTCGAATCCCTCGTGCCGCGTAACAGGGTGAGCTCCCGTTACTTGTCCCAGCTTCTGCCAACCTAGCAGTTCGAAAGCACGTAAAACATGCAAGTAGAAAAATAGGGACCACCTTTGGTGGGAAGGTAACAGCGTTCCGTGCGCCTTTGGCGTTTAGTCATGCTGGCCACATGACCACGGAGACGTCTTCGGACAGCGCTGGCTCTTCAGCTTTGAAACTGAGATTAGCACCGCCCCCTAGAGTTGGGAACGACTAGCACATATGTGCGAGGGGAACCTTTACCTTTACGTTATGTTATAAGACAGGGGTGTCAAACTCAATTTCATTGAGGGCCACATCAGGGCTGTGGTTGACCTCGGGGAGGGGGGGGCTGGGCATGGCAGGCTGGATGGGTGTGGCCAACTGGGTGGGCATGGCCAGCTTGACACCACTCCCCAAACAGCTGGCATGTTTACTCTTCACATTGGGTAGACCAGGACAGATCTGTGAGCCGGATATGACTGCATCATGGCCCCCATCCGGCCTTGAGTTTGACACCCCTGTTCTAAGATGACACTTTCCCAGTTTTGGTCTGAGTGTGCTATCAACGGTCTGCATGGTTTAAGTAAGAAGAAGCCATTTGCAAACTGCCTGAACATGACTTGACATACCACTTGTGGGTGATCTGATTGACTGAGATGATGTAATGGACAGGACTTGACTAGTTTAACCTGTTCCACTAGATTTGGCTTAATCTGATATGTTTTATTTGCAAGGCTCGTCCCCTGCCTAGCTCCACAGACTTTGAGCTCGCATGTTCGAGACGAACAATAAAGGAAGAAAAAATAAACTTCAGGACTTCACAGGTACCTTTCCCTTCAATCAGGAATCGTTAGAGCAAGCTAGGAGCAAATTGATTTACCTTGCAATGACTTTCTCTACAACAGAGTTGGAAGGGACCTTGGAGACTTCTAGTCCAACCCCCTGCCTAGGCAGAAAACCCTACCCCACTTCAGACAAATGGTTATCCAACATCTTCTTAAAAACTTCCAGTGTTGGAGCACCCACAACTTCTGGTGGCAAGTTGTTCCACTGATTAATTTTTCTCACTGTCAGGAAATTTCTCCTTAGTTCTAAGTTGCTTCTCTCCTTGATTAGTTTCCACCCATTGCTTCTTGTCCTGCCCTCAGGGGCTTTGGAGAATAGCTTGACTCCTCCTTGTTTGTGGCAGCCCCTGAGATATTGGAACACTGCTGTCACTCCTAGTCCTTCTTTTCAAGGATAGGATAGGATAGGATAGGATAGGATAGGATAGAATAGAATAGAATAGAATAGAATAGAATAGAATAGAATAGAATAGAATAGAATAGAATAGAAATGTTACCTAATGATATTCAGAGAAGCATTTGAATGTCCCGGGCATTTCAAGTGTAAATTGTGTTTTCTTGACCTTCTTAATAGAATAGAATAGAATTCTTTATTGGCCAAGTGTGATTGGACACACAAGGAATTTGTCTTCGGTGCATACGCTCTCAGTGTACATAAAAACAAAATACATTCATCAAGAATCATAAGATACAACATTTAGTGATAGTCATAGGATACGAAATAAGCAATCAAATCATACTAGTAAACTAAATAAAATAATATAAATTGTAAAGATAAAAGCAACCTGGTTGTATAGTCATAAGTGGGAAGAGATAGATACTAGTAAGAAAGAGAAGAATAATCGTAATACAGTCTTAGTAACTAGTCTGACAGTGTTGAGGGAATTAGTTGTTTAGCAGAGTGATGGCATTCGGGAAAAAACTGTTCTTGTGTCTAGTTGTTCTGGTGTGCAGTGCTCTATAGCGTCATTTTGAGGGTAGGAGTTGAAACAATTTATGTCCAGAATGCGAGGGGTCTGTAGATTTTTTCACAGCCCTCTTTTTGACAGGTGCAGTATACAGATCCTGAATGGAAGGCAGGTTGGTAGCAATTGTTTTTTTCCCCAAGTGCATAAGTGTGTAAAGGAAACCAAGCCACTCCAATGGATGGATAAAATCAAGCTTGACTGTTTTCTGTTTAGCGATGCTGTTAAGAACATGGGCTAAGGCAAAAATATGCCTGGTGATGTTGGAACTTAATTTCACGCAGTTGCAAAACCCACGTCGCTCTTAAGATACGAAGAAATTCATGCTGGCGTGTGCTTTTTCTTTATTACTTGTAAGGGTAATTGTGCAGATCAGGAAGCAATCATGTTTCCAGAATTGTGTGATTTTTTTTTTTTTTCAAATTCAGAAATTGAAATATTTTAACATGCTATACACATGCATGTACGATTCAAGATATATTTTGGTATCGTTTTTTAAAAGGGAAAGAAGATCAGAATTAATGCCGTAGATTGTTGGGACAGAACGTTTACATTCTGCGGATTAAGATTAAGATCTGGTAAAATAGAGAAAATGGGGGGGGGGGGAATGCTGTTTTCAGGGTTTTATAAAAAAATAAAAAAATAAACATGCATTTCTGTGATATATATGCTACGATTGAGCTTAAAAAGCTCTGTTTCTTCTTGTTCTCTGTTTCTTGTTCCTACCTAAAATATTTCAGAAATGGGGAAAAAAACCGTCTCTAAAGCATCAAAGTATAAATCAGCATATTTGTAACGAGAACTTTCTTTTGTTGCTGTGTTGCAATAATTCTTTATTAAGTCTCTTTATAATAAACAGACGTTTGCTGTCATTGAGAATTATTTCACTTGTAGTTTATATCCTTTAGAATTAATTGTAGCATTTATAAGTCTTGGGGGTATTTTCTTCCTTTTTTTTTTAATGTATGTATGTCAAATCGTACAAAATAACATTTAGATCTATATTTAGCCAGCCTAAGCTGTAAATAATTATGGAACATCTGGAATTGGTAAAGGGATGAAGGATAGCTTGCTCGAAATCACTTTACTCTAGACTAGGCAATTCTGATTTTTTTCCCATGTTCGTCTCTCGCTTTGCGTTGCTGAAAATAAAAATGCGCTCTTGAGTTTCATTATAATCTTTGTGCCATTTGGAGACATAGAGATGGTTATCTACATTAAAAGATTAGCCTATTTTGAAAAAAGGTAGCTGTGGATTTCCATTTACCTCAGCAATTTTTTTTTTAAAAAAGTGAGCAACATCTTAAGATGTGAAATCCGTAGAGTTAGGGACGAAGAGAAAAAAAATCAGTATTTGTCTGAGAAACATTATCATGTTTTTTTTCCCCTTTTAATGCTTTTTTATTGCTTCATCTTTTAGTTGAAGAAAATAATAATACTTATTTGCAGATTTCCCACTTTTCTGTGAGAAAATCCAGGTTAAGGTGGCCTGTATTGATTTTTTTAAAAAAAATTATGATCTTTCACGGTGCACCAAAAATCATAAAATGTAAACACCGTATCAACCACCCCGATGGAACAGCTTGCAGTCAAACTGGTCTCCTTTTCAGAATATTTATATAAACGGTATAAACTACAAATAAGAGGCTCTAGTCCAAGACTAATAATATAAAACTTATCAGACAGTTTGGTAAGGAAGACAGAAGAAGATAAGCAAGTAATTCTCCATTTGATCTTAGTTGTAGGAGATGAGCAGGTGGGGAGGGGTTAAATGCATCATCAGTTTAGAATACTTACATTCCCACAAGAGACCTAAATTCCCCATCTGTGAATTCCATTGACTGTCATCTAGCACCAATCTCGTTTGACTGTTAGTAGAACAGATTCTTGTGTATAGCTAGCATGAAATTTAACTTTTATTGCCTCAAACTCCCCTCCTGTTCCTGGTTTCTTGCGCCCAACAGTAGTGGAAAGAAGGCCATCTACATAGTTTAAATTTCAACTGTGAAGTTGAAAGGTTTGCCATCACTGTTCTAGAGAATAAATCAATCCCCTCTTCTCTGTGGCAGCTCCTTAACTACTGGAAGACAGCTACCGCGTCCTTCCTAATCGTTCTTTTCAGTAGGCTAGACGTATCTCGGTCCCTCAACCTTTTGTCATACAATGTAGCCTCCGAACTCTTAATCATCTTAGTTGTTCTTCTCGGCACACTTTCTCAACATCTCAATATCTTCTTTGTATTGTGACGAGAATTGGATGCAGTATTCCAAGGTCTAAAGTTCTCACGGTCAGAAAATGGTATATTGAAATATACCAAAATATAGCGTGAAAAATATGTTTCGCAATAATTAACAAATCAAGTTTAAGTTTCTGAAAAAGGAATAAGCATCTATTTTCCTTGGCTCAATAAGGGCTGGGCATTCCTTTAAGAATAGTGTGCACATCTGGAATTTTGAAGGAATATTTCTGGATTTGTATAAACTGGCAGCTGGCAGGAAATTGCTTATTTAAATATATCTTACATAGAACCCCTGAATAAACACAAGCTAACTGTTATAGGAAAGCATAGTTATGAGATTGTTCTTTTCACCCTATTAATCTACCTAAAATGTTGTGTACCATTACCTGTTTTTCTGAACAGGTGGATAAACTTCCAAATTAGGTAGTTTTAATTTTATATCTCTACTAGATTTGTATCCTGCCTTTCCTCCAAAAGTAGAAGGCACTGTACATATTTTTTTCACAGCAATAACCTGTAGTATAGTTTGATCTAAGAGGTAGTAGTCACTCAGTCAGTTTCTACAGCTGAGGGAGCATAGATGCAGTCACCAGGATTCAATTCAATAGGTGTTTACATTTTGTTAGCAACCAAAGAAACAGACAATCCTTGACTTATAACCTTTCATTTAGCAACTGAGCACAGGTAGTCCTCGTCTTATGATGGTTGACAGTTCAAAGTTACAATAGCACTGTAAAAAGTGACTTATGACCATTTTTCACACTTATGGCCATTGCAGCCATCCCCATGATGACATGATGAAAATTCAGATGCCTGGAAACTGGTTCATATTTATGACGGTTGCAATGTCTCGAGGTGGCTCAGCAGCTAAGACGCTGAGCTTGTCGATCAGAAAGGTTGGCAGTTTGGCGGTTCGAATCCCTAGTATAGGTCTGTGTGACCTAGGCCCAAGTAGGCATTATCAGACACAATCAGTTCTAAACAAACATATTTTATTAGAATAGCTGAGAATTAACTCATTCTCAGCGTAGTCCAAACTAATTCAAAACAAATTCTTCATAACACAATTCTTCAGCCTTATCACCAACCTTGGTCTCATTAGACAACCTGCCAAAGGCTTTTCTTGGCAAAAGTTCAGAAGCAGAAGACACTGACAAGAAATAAATGCAGCAAGACAAGAAACAAATCTATCAACGTTGTTTTCCGACAGCCCAAGAGCCGTTGCTGGTCTTTTAAGCCTTATGGGAGGGGCCAATCATCTCTTGGCCTTACTCCCGAGTCGTCCTTTTTGCTTGAGCTGCTCTTGCCTTCTGGCAGCTCTTCTCATGCGTGCAGTAGGAACAGGCTCCTCCTGTTCCTCTGCCTCTCTGCTGTCAGCTTCTGGAGGCTCCAGAGTCCGCACATCACTCCCAGATGGCCCTGGCCCCATCTCTGCCTCTGATGCAGAGCCCCCATCCGGGCCTTCCCCAGCCTCCAGGACAGGCCCATGTTCTTCCTCAGCTGACTTCGCTGCCAGCTCCGCAGGCTGCTGGTGGACCACAACAAGGTCTTCTGCGTGAGCAGGGGTTTGGACAAGATGATCTCCAAGGTCCCTTCCAACTCTGTTACTGCTATTTCATGTCATCTCCTTTTGTGACTTTCTGACAAACAAAGTCAATGGAGAAACCAGATTCACTTAACAACCGGGCTATTAAGTCAACAACTGCAGTGATTCACTTACCAACTAGGGCAAGAAAGGTCACAAAATAGGGGCAAAACTCACTTAACAAATTTCTCACTTAGTAACATAAATTTTGGGCTCAATTGTGGTCGTAACTCGAGGACTACTTATACTTGAAGAGAAAACGAGAGTTCTATATTTTTCATTCAACATCCTAGTGTCCTGAATTTTTTTTTTATAAAACCCCAGCAATATATCTTTATATTGAGGGTCTGATTTGCCCCAATTCTGTACTTCATTTGTAACTGTATTGTTAACTATTAAATCTAGATTTTGAAGGCAGCTGTAATAGACGAGTCAAACTTTATGTTATATAAAAGAAAATAAATTATGAGTAGAAAGGAGACATTAATTCTTACTGTGTTTTTGTTCTCTAGGTATTCCTGAAAAATGGATGATGACTATTTTGGAGGATTTGAGGTATGGAAAATAGGAATAGTGAAATATTCACCCATGATATTTTCAATAGTCAAAGCTACGTAGGACACTCTAGCAGTCAAAATTCGAAAGCAGAGCAATTGATTATGTGATAATTATGCAGTCATCTGTAATGTGCCAGTTTCTAATTTATGTCACTTTATTATGGTTTTATCAGTTGCTATTATTATTGAGCCTGTCATCTGCACCTCTGTAACCGTCTGGTTTGGTTCTGCAACCCAACAAGACAGACACAGACTTCAACGGATAATTAGAACTGCAGAAAAAACAATGGCTACCAACCTGCCTTCCATTGAGGACCTGTATACTGCACGAGTCAAAAAGAGGGCTGGGAAAATATCTACAGACCCCTCACATCCTGGACATAAACTGTTTCAACTCCTACCCTCAAAACGACGCTATAGAGCACTGCACACCAGAACAACTAGACACAAGAACAGTTTTTTCCCGAATGCCATCACTCTGCTAAACAAATAATTCCCTCAACACTGTCAAACTATTCATTAAGTCTGCATTACTATTACTATTAATCTTCTCATCGTTTCTATCACCCATCTCCTCCCACTTATGACTGCATGATTGTAACTTTGTTGCTTGCATCCTTACAATTTATATTGATTGTTTCCTAGTATGATTCGATTACTTATTTTGTATCCTATGACTATCATTAAGTGTTGCACCTTATGATTCTTGACGAATGTATCTTGTCTTTTTATGTACACTGAGAGTATATGCACCAAAGACAAATTCCTTGTGTGTCCAATCACACTTGGCCAATGAAGAATTCTATTCTATTAAGAAGGACAAGAAAACACAATTTACACTTGAAATGCCCGGGACATTCAAATACTTTTCTGAATATCATTAGGTAACATTTCTCCAAAATGTTCAGAACTGGACTATAAATGTTTAGCACATTTGAGGAATCTTTAGCTTCAATCTTTTGATTGCTTTTGCAGACTAGCTTATATTTGTTCCCCCTCTTTACCAAATTGGCTTATTCTTGTGTTTTAAAAGTGACCTATTTTGTCGGAGTCCCAGACTTCTGCATCCTGATATTTGATGGTTCTTTCCTTGAAGGAGGTCTTCTTAAGTCCTTCATAGCCTGAAATCCTGGCTGCGGAAGGAAATTGGGTCTGGTTGATTGCATGCTGTAAAGTCACCGGTGCCACATTTTTTTGTGGGGGTGGCATTTCATCTCTGCCCCCACCCCTTTTTTTTCCTAACAGAGTGCCAAAAGTTAGGAATACAGGAAGCTGGTTTATACCGGTTGGGGGGGGAACCATGCCAAGAGAGTGAATTTCCTGACCGTTGGGCCAATGTTTTAATATAAAGTTATGCCAAACTTCACATTTTTATATAAGAAAATATTTTTGGCATAAACAAACAGCCAATCAGGATAAAGTAACAGTGCACTTTTAAATGCTCATGGACTAGTAATCAAGGAGAGAAGCAACCTAGAATTAAGGAGAAATTTCCTAACAGTGAGGACAATTAACCAGTGGAACAGCTTGCCTCCAGAAGTTGTGGGTGCTCCCTCACTGGAGGTTTTGAAGAAGAGACTGAAACCCGAAGACCAGTGGCCGGTGCGCATGCCCATAGAGAGGGATCTGCATGCCACCTCTGGCACGTGTGCCATAGGTTCGCCATCACGGGTATAGGATCTTCTGCTTGAGGAGAGGGTTGGACTAGAAGACCTCTTAAGGTCCCTTCCAACTCTAATCTGTAACTGTCTAGTAAAACAGGTGGAAGATGTCACACTATTTGATTCTGTATTATACTATACTATACTATATAATTCATTTGTTGAAGGCGCCAGGCAGATTTTGATGTGACTGTTTTCTCTAGCATCAGATTATTGATGAATATGCTCTTTGAAAGATAAATACGCGGATGACAAGACCAACTAAAGTGTTAGCAAAAGTTAAAATAGCATGAAAATGCCTTTCAACCAAAATAGCAGGATCGATAAAAATCAATGATTTTTTTTAAAAAAATCAAAAAAATCAGATTTTTTTGATTTAAATCGGATTTTTTTGATTAAAATCGGATTTTTTTGATTTTTATCGTATTTATTTTAATAAAAAACTTTTGGGGTAAAAATCTATCGTAAGATAGTTTTCTATTTAAGATACATAAATAATTTACTTTATTCAGCATGAAATGGACCTTAGTTATGTAGCATGAGGTTGTATATTCTGCAACACTGGGACTATCGGTGAGTCAACAGTGGGTCAAAGGAGTAGCAGTTGCTCTTTAAAAATTATGATTTAAATCGACTTGATTTAAATCAAGCCTTTTTACTAGTGATTTAAATCATGATTTAAATTGTGATTTAAATCAACTCGATTTAAATCAAATCCACCCTGCAAAATAGTATTAAAAATGGTGCCATGAAATAGCCATGACCAGCATCTGGGGAGCCGAAGCCCACAAGTAAGGCCTACATTGCAAAACCTAAATAGTCTGAGGAGAAAAAAAAATTAGATTTGATTTAGTTCACTCCAAGTACAATTAAATAAATGCTCATGCCCATTTATGTTGTGAAGCTCCCCTCGGAAGTGTGGCTGAACACACGAGGCACACTGGAAACGGAGTGGCACTGCTTGGAAATTCTTCAAATGAATGATGGAGCAGTGAAGAAAACCTTGTCCCTAGTTTAACAATATGCCTTGCACTTTCAGGCTGCAGACATTTTTTTTAAAGATGGAAACGGTGAACCCCAGACAACATCTCCTGCTATTCCTTGGGCGGCATTTTCCACAGGTAAATAGAGAAATACTGGTAATTTGTGTGTGGGTGTGGGTCTTCGTATGAGTTTTTCTGACTACTTTACTGGGGGCGGTGTTAAGAGAGGAATCAGTCTGGAATCATTACATTCCCACAAGCGAAATCCAGCCACTCTTGAATTCCGTTAACTCTGATTTAGTGCTATTGATTTAAAACCAGAGCTGTTCCTATTGGGTATCCTTCCAGAGAAAATCAGAAAAGAAAATATATATTTAATTATACAGGTAATAACAGCTGCAAGGATTGTTTTTGCACAAAATTGGAAAGCAGAGAAAATCCCTCTAGAAGGAGAAGTAATTAAAAAAAATATTAGACCGTGAAGAAATGAATAGATTAACTATGATGATTAAAAAAAGAGAGGATTCAGAATATTTTAAGATATGGGATCAACTTTATCATTGGTTAGAAAAGAGGTATAGATAAGTTAACTAATAGTTATGCAAAAATGGTATGATTAGAACATTGTATTTTTGGAGATATATTGTAACAGATCGGGTGACAACAAAGAGAGAAGAATTTGCAAAAGGATGATGCTATGGAGGAAACACCGAGATGTCGCACGGAAAAAATGATTGATGTATTAAATGTTTGTCTGTGTATAAAATAAAAAAACTTTTTCCAAAAAAACCTCACTTCTGATTTAGTGCTGACCATTAAATGAGTAGATTCTAGTGAATAGGCCTGAGCAAAAAATCTTAGTGGCAACTTTGTGTGTAGTCCTGAAACTTTGCGTCTGACATTAAGGTACGTTAGTCCTTCCTTTTATTTCATACTTACATACACAGGCATATACACTACGATGGAGATATATTAGTTTAATTAGTATAGCAGAAGCATCTTAGGCAGAGGTGGTATTCAGCCGGTTCAGACCGGTTTGCCCGAACCTGTAGCAGAAATTGCCCACTTGCCCACCTGCCCCGGCTCTATGCTATCCTATTTAGGCAAGTTTTTGAGGCTGGGCACATGTGTAGAAGCCAGGCACGCACGCGAAGCAGGCTCACACACAGCGAACCGGTAGTAACATCATCTGAAACCCACCGCTGATCTTAGGCCAGTGTTTTTCCAAGTTGGCAACTTTAAGGTGAGAGAACTTCAACTTCCAGAAGTTTTGAAACTAAAGAAAGTTTAGTTTGAAACTTTCTAAAAGACTCCACAAGCTTTGAGTTTCTTCACTGTAACTGATTGGAATAATCCCATGAAAGATGAATTCAATCATCCTGAACCTTTCAGAAGGAAAGCGAAATTCTCATGCTTATAAATGCTTTAATAAAATAATGTTTCCAACCAGTACCGTCTTATAATAAGGGTTATTACAGTATATTTTCCCTATAAGTATAAAATTACCCAGTACTTGGGGTTCTCAAGATGCCTTACCCGATAATCTTTATAACAATTTAGCGAGATGTTGTGAACAACTTAGTGAGAAGTTGTGTAGTGGAGAAGAAGTCAAGAATTAGATGTTTGATTCTGAGGAGGAATGGAGATTTGAGCTATGGATTTACCATAGTGCAATTTTATCCTTCTGTCGGTATAGAATGTGAAAAAAAAGCTAGACCTCGTGCAAATTCACTCCGGGTTGTGCAGGGTAGACAGACTCCAATTAAGCAATATCTGTTTGGCATACCGCCTAAGCCATTTTCCAAATCAGCATAACTGCAGAATGTATAGAATTCTTGCTATATACATTTATTTGGCTTCCATAACCTTTCTGCTTTGATTTTTTTTTTTTAAGGCAGAATATTTTATTTTTATATTTTTCAATGTATCAATTAGGATTGTTTACCCTTAAAAATCAGACAATTATTTTTTTATGAAGCATTTTTCTATTCCTCTTGCATTCTTGCCAAATATATGCATAAAAATACGCATTGTATTTGGGGAGTATTTATGGCAAACTCTTCTTTTTGCAAATAAAACTATTTGAAACTTTCCCTCACGATGTTCGCTTGCTCTTATGCGCTCTTACGTTAAGGAAACTTACGAGAATTGGTAGTATTTTATTTAAAAAAAGAAATACATATTTCTTTACATTTTTTTACATTTTACACACTGTGTGTGTGTTGTGTATATGTATGTTTGTAAGCATGTGTAAATGGTAAACTATTTTTCGGTAAGTAAAGACATGCAGGACGAACATATGTTATCCTGAATTTTCTCGCAGCAATTTCAGTAAGCAAATTTGTGTTTTATTTATATTGTAATCCATGGTAATTCATTGAATTCCTTTGGCTAGTACACCAAGTTGCTATTTTTAGCTTTTGCAGAAAGATACAAGTTTTTTTAAAAAACAGATGTCTTATTGAATTTCTTTCCTTTCACTTGCATTCCTTTCTCTTCCTTGTTTTTACCAATAGTGCCTGAAATTCTTGTACCGCCAACGGTTTCTGCCGAGCTGCTTTCGAAACAAGCTCCAGCTAACGTACCGGCAGATTCTCAACGATCACCCAGCACTTTAAGTGAAGCTGATCTTAAAGAGCAGGTAAAATGAATTTTATGATTATTTTTTTTTATGCATGAAACAATACTTTTTAAACACACCCACCAATTTGTAAATAAATTGTAAGTAGAGAAGGACTAGCGGGTGATAGGATAGCTGTCTTCAGGTAGTTGAAGGACTGTGACAGAGAAGAACAGGAAGATACCTGAAGGCAGGATAAGAAGGAATTGTTGGAAGCTTGTCAGAGGAAAATCCAACCTGGAACTAAGGAGAAATTTCCTGACAGTGAAAACAATTAATTACTGTAAGAACTTGCCTCTGGAAATTGTGGGTGCTTCATCACTATAGGTCAGGGGTCTGCAACCTTAAACACTCAAAGAGCCATTTGAACCCGTTTCCCACAGAAAAGAAAACACCGGGAGCCACAAAACCCTTCCTGTGCTTGACTATTTCTTGAGCAGCCACAAAAGTAGCATACGTAGTTGAATTAAACGTTCTGTTTTCTTCTGAAACTTTTCTTTTCTTGGATTTATCCATGGTTGGCCTACCAGGGGTTGAAAAGCTCAATAAATCACGTGCCGGGCGGGTGTCGCACATTGGCGGTTGTGACGCATATTTTGAGTGACGGAGCCACAGCAGAGGGGTGAAAGAGCCACATGCGGCTCCAGAGCCGCAGGTTGCTGACCCTGCTATAGGCTTTCAAAGAGATATCGGAGAGCCATTTTTTTCTTTTTTTTTTTTTATAAACACTTTATTAAACTTTTATTACATTAAAAACATAAAAAAAATTCACTCAACAACAGCTAATTGTGGTGTTTTTCTTGTGACAATAAATGAATGATTGTAAGTCTAGGACTATCTCTATGTTTAAACATCGCATGATTAAATCTGACACCTATACACCTCACTATTCTGTTGTCTTCCATAAAACAGGTTCCCTTATCCATCGATCCTCCGTTGACTGAAAATCTAGAAAGAGCATCTGCCAATTACGACGAAACTGATACGAAACCACGACTGAGTGATTCTGAAAAGCATTTTCAACAAACCCTTTCAGCCCTGGAAAGTAAACTTAAAACAGCAGATGAAGAAAAAGCTAGAATAAAAAAGGTACAGCTACAAGTCTACAGAATGTTCCATCCATATTTGTATGTGGTTGTCGATCTAGGCAGGAGTGTGGAACAATGGCCCAGAGTGGGTTTCACCAGGTTCTGACCAGTTCTGGAGAACTGGTAGCAGAAATTTTGAGTAGTTTGGAGAACCGATAGTAAAAATTCTGACTGGCCCCGCCCCCATCTATTCTCTGCCTCCCAAGTCGCAGCTGATCGGGAGGAAATGGGGATTTTGAAGTAACCTTCCCCTGGATTGGGGTGGGAATGGAGATTTTACAGTATCCTTCACCTGCCACGCCCACCAAGACATGTCACGCCCACCCAGCCACACCCACAGAACTGGTAGTAAAAAATTTTGAAACCCACCACTGCAATGGCCCCTTTACGACTTGTAGACTTCGACTCCCAGAATTCCTGAGCCAGCCATGCCATGCTGTTGGTGGCTCAGGAATTCTGGGAGTCGAAGTCCACAGGTTGTAAAGGGGCCATCGTTTCTTACCTCTGATTTCTAGATGGTGAGAGCACCAGCCCATTTTCTCCTTCTGTTCCTCTGGGTCATGCTCACCCTTCCTTTTGGCATCTTGACTGTAAACCAGGAGTGTTTTGTCGAACAAGGTGTGGAGGGAAAAAAGGATGTTTTTGATTACTAGAAGGATCTTGGCAGCTCTTGGCAGATTTGTACACCAAGCCATATCCAACAAAAGGCAATTCTTTGTTGTGAAATTAAGGTCCAATCCTTAGGCAAGAAAAATCAAATGCACAGGTACGGTACCTGGCTCAATAGCAGCAACTATGAGAAGGATCTAGATCAGGGGTGGGCAATTGTGGCCCTGGGGTGAGTGGGGTGTATGTATGTGGGGTGCAGGTTGGTGCAGGACGCTTCCCAGGCCAAAACGGGGCACAGGTGGTCTTGCGCTGTGCCCCCACATCCTGTTTTGGGCCTGGAAAGCCGCCTGCACCAACCTGGTAGTCAAAATGGCGCATGGAGAGCCGGGGTGCATGCGTGGGGGTGGCGGGGCAATGCACGGGGAACACACATGGGGGGCCCAGGGTGCATGAATGGGGAACATGCTTGCATTGCATTTTGGGGATTTGGGCACGGGCACATGCATTTGCACGCGTGCACGCTTTGGGCACTTAGCACCAAAAAGGTTAACTATCCCTGGTATAGGGTTTCCTGCTTGAGCAGAAGGTTGGACTAGAAGCCTAGAAGCTGCCTTCCAACTCTTGCATTCTATTCTGTAAATTGGACTCTGAGGTGATAATTATAAAAGAGATATGCTTTAATATAAATCGTAATTTTTGTTTTTAGGAGTTAGAAGATCTTTTGGAAAAACACAGAACTTTGGAAACCAATTACCTGAAAGAAAAAGACAATAAATTAATTTCACATAAGGATATACACAACAAGCTCCAGGTAACGTTTTAAGATTTTTATTTGCTGAGGATATTCTTAATTGCTCTGGTAATTTATAGGCCTAACCATAAAGAATGATACAATAGAAAATAAAATGCATCTGTTTAAAAAAGAACTAAGGGGTTTTAACCAAACTTGGTACACAGATGACTTACTCTCTGGAAAGAAATACTATGGGGGTAAGACACCCCAACACCGCTCGGGGTGTGTGTTCTGTTAAGATACAACCTGTTGTGCCTTAAAATGGCATCTACTGTACTGCCTTAAAATGGATTCTACTGTGCAGCACAGTGGAGTTGCCATGGTAACGGCTTCACAGTACTCCACAAGGGGGCTCCCTCTGGTAAGGGGGAAAATCCTAATACAGGATTGGGATAAATAAATACCCGGGCCATGCCGGGTTATCAGCTAGTAGAAAATAAAATGCATCTGTTTAAAAAAGAACTAAAGGGCACATAGCTAATTAGAATAGTGTCTGTTATTCTGTTTACCTAGCAGTTTGTGCTGGTTGTAACCCTCCTTCACGACTCTTTTAAAACATGTCTCGTTTAATATTGTAAGCTGCTCCGAGTTACCCTACAGTAAGATGGCCAATAAATTTGATAAATAAATAAAACAAAGCATTGTATTTATACCAGTGGTGGGTTGCCCCTGTTTCGCACCGGTTCTATAGAACCGGTAGTAAAACTGGCGGGAGGCTCCACCCACCGACTGTGACGTCATCAAAATGCTTCTGCGCATGCACAGAAGCTTCTGCGCGAGCGGCCCCGTTGCGAACCAGTAGTAAAGGTAAATAGAACCCACCCCTGATTTATACAACCATCTTTAAAATCCCATCACTGTACTGAGAACTAAAAAAAAAATATGTACTGGGGTCAATTTCTTCGTACAGAAAAACAAGAAAACGCAGAAATGAGAAATATGAAGATGGATCCATATAAGAAACTCGTCATAGCACAAGCCATAACAGATGGATTGGTTTTAATTCAAAGATGTGTTCAAAGCTCCTCCCTTACCCTTGTTCAGGGGTGGGCAAATGTGGTCCTTTTACGACCTGTGGACTTCAACTCCCAGAATTCCTGAGACAGCCAACCTGGCTCAGGAATTCTGGGAGTTGAAGTCCACAGGTCATGAAGCGGCCATATTTGCCCACCCCTGCCCTAGTTTGTTTGTTTGTTTGTCAGATTTATATGCCGCCCTTCTCCCGTAGGACTCGGGGCGGCTCACAACAATAAAACAACCCGACAATAGATAAAATTAGATAATATTAAAAACCAATTCAAATCCCCAAGTTAAAATCCACGGCAGATCAGGGAAGTTGCTGAAAGAGCCATGTCTTTAGGTCGGCGCGGAAGATGCGGAGGTCGGGGGCCATCCAGAGCCCGGTTGGCAACCCATTCCAGAGGGTCGGTGCGACCACAGAGAACGCCCTCATCCTGGGGACCGCCAGCCGACACTGTCTGGCTGAGGGGACCCGGAGGAGGGCAGCCCTATGTGAGCGCACTGCGCGGTGGGAGGCCGGTAGGAGGTGATCCTGCAAATACCCCGGGCCCATGCCATGAAGGGCTTTATAGGTGAGTACCAGCACCTTGAAGTGGATCCGGAGGACTACTGGCAACCAGTGCAGCTCGCGCAATAGTGGTGTTATATGGGAGTAGCGGGATGCACCCGTAACTACTCACGTGGCCACATTCTGGACCAGTTGGAGCCTCCGGGTGCACCCCAAGGGCAGCCCCATGTAGAGGGCATTGCAGTAATCCAACCGAGAGATAATGAGAGCATGAGTGACCGTACGGACCGTATTTTAAACTCCAAGGAACCTTCATTGCTAAGGATCTTGTCCAGTTTTTGTGTTCACAATGAAACTTGAGTCCAGAGGAATAAGGGAATCAAACTTTTAACAGATTAACAGAGTTGGAAGGGACCTTGCAGGTCATCTAGTCCAACCCCCTGCCTATGCAGGAGACCTTACATCTGCCTCTACCTAGGATCGAACTTACAACTTCCTGATTGTGAGGTAAGAGCTCCACCTCTAGGCCACAGCAGCTGGCATTTTAGGAGTTCCGTTGCTTGTTTTCTTTGTGGAAATAGAATATGGACTTCACTAGTTCTGTGTTCTGACCTAGGCTTCCCAAGAGCATGAAGAGGACTCCTTGTCCCCACAAAAACCCCTTTTTATTAAGTTACTGTGAATTCCTCTCATTCACATCCAGCAAAGTCTTTCAAGGGAGAATTTACAGTCACAGACCTTATCTGGCTTGGAGAGCTTCCAGGCCGATATCTTCAAAACTTGGCAAGAAATCTCTGAGAGTCACAAATCAATTACGTGAACTAATTGTCTCCTGCAAACTCCCCTCCCCTTTCGCTCCTCTTTATTCCCTATGGGAGGGGCCATTCACTGTCCACCTGTGCCTTTACTCCGGAGTCGGCCCTTGTTCCTTAGCTCTTCCCTTCTCCTGGCAGCTCTGCGCATGCGCACATCAGGAACAGGCTCCAGCTGTTCTTCTTCCCCACTGATGTCCGACTCCGAAGGCAGCTGATAACTGTCGGACGGCCCTGGCCCCCTCTCTGCCTCTGACGCAGAGCACTCATCAGAGCCTTCCCCAGACTCCAGGAGTGCCTCATGTTCCTCCCCAACCTCCTCACTGGCCGCTGGTGGGCCTCAACATTCTGGATTCCATTTTGGTTTCACCTTCTCTGGTGTTAGGGACCAGCACCTGCGACCACACAGCAAGTCAGCTGAAAAGTACAGCCGTACAGCTTGTCAGCAACTTCTTTTCAGCGAAAACAGCTGGCTCGGGCACTGCATAACTAAGAGAAGAAAAACCGGCATGAATCAGGGACTTGGTATTTTTCCAGACGAATTTGTAGGTACTTGAGAGTCTTTGGGAATCTCACAATGAGTATAAAAAGGGCAAAAGCTCTCAGGACTTTGTAGAAGCTTAGCCAATGTATCGTGGTGGAATAAGTTCACATGGGCCAAACGAACATGTAAGAAAAGTTCCTTTAACTAGTTTTAACCAAGATCAGAAGATGTTCACTGTAACAGGACATGCTTCAGTTTTCATGCAGCACCCTCGAACCGTGGAAGATGAAAATCAGATAGGGTACTTCGTGGAAAGTTTCCACTGAATCCAGGGATGGGCTTCAAAAATTTTGGCAAGGGGTTCTCTGCCCGGTTGCTGGGTGGGCATAGCCATGGTGGGCGTGGCCTATTCGGTCTCCTGCACCACGGCGGGGTGTGTGTGTGTGTTTGCCCTCCCCAGGCTCCAGAGGTTTTCCTTGAACCTCCGAGAGGGTGAAAATGGCCTCCCCAGGCTCCGGAGGCCCTCTGGAGGCCGGAAACGGGCCCATTTCCAGCCTTCCTGAACTTCTGGTAGGCTGTTTTTTGCCCTCCCCCGAGTCTCCGTGCACTTACCTGCATCCAAAATAGGCTGCGTGGGGACTCCTGGGAGGGGTGGGGTGGGGTGGGCGGGGCCAGCGAGTAGTGGGATTTGGGGGTTCTCCAAACTGCATAGAATCTTAGCTAGAGGTTCTCCTGAATCCCTGTGAACCCCCAGCAACCCATCCCTGACTGAATCCTTTTCAGGTATAAGTGCTCTCCATTTTGGCTAATCAGTTGCCCAGATGTGGCTCCTTCCAATAGAGGAGTTAATCACACATACTTTCTCCAGCCTTTAAATCTCCAATATTTACTATATGCTTTGCATAGTCCGCCTACATCTCCCGGAAGGAGCATTGGAAAATTTTTAAGTCTAATTTTTCAATTGTAAAATCCGTTCCAAAATCCATATTATGTATATATTTAGAGTCTCTCAGTAAGATCATGTTCTTGAAAAACAATGCAACTTATGCGGTTTGGGCTTCTCTTTTCAAACATAGTTGCAATATTTTTTTCTTTTAGCATTGGCAACCATTGTCTCCTTTTCTGAATTAAACTCAAATCTCGGATTTGATTTGGAAGCCTTAAATCACCTTCTTTTTTTTCTACTTTCATATCTTAAAGTTGGAAGAATTCTCGCTACAGTTCACTATATCCCTGTTATAATTAAGAAACAATGGTAAGAAATGATTCAGAAGAGCATCATCGTCATTGCTGACATTTAGCACAAAAATAGCCGTGGATTTCTTTTATTCTGAACAATCGCATGTATTCACGGATTGAGTTGCTAACTGACAATATAGAGAAGGTAGAGCCAGCCCCACAAAATTTTCGTGAGAGAGGTTAAGTTACTCAAAGGAACTAAAGGTAAAGGTTCCCCTCGCACATATGTGCTAGTCGTTCCCGACTCTAGGGGGGCGGTGCTCATCTCTGTTTCAAAGCCGAAGAGCCAGCGCTGTCTGACGATGCCTCCGTGGTCATGTGGCCAGCATGACTAAACACCAAAGACACACGAAACGCTGTTACCTTCCCACCAAAGGTAGTCCCTATTTTTCTACTTGCATTTTTTTACGTGCTTTTGAACTGCTAGGTTGGCAGAAGCTGGGAAAAGTAACGGGAGCTCACCCCGTTACGCAGCACTAGGGATTCGAACCGCTGAACTGCCGACCTTTCTGACTGACAAGCTCAGCTTCTTAGCCACTGAGCCACCATGGCCCAGTACTCAAAGGAGCTAAAGAACAGCAAAAACTCGAAGTTATCAATTCCTCTGTAGTGAATACAAAATAGGGATTGGATCAGGAAAGAGAGTGAACCACTGCAAGAGGAGAATTTTGCATATTAAAAATATATATATTCTGTCAAGAATTAGTGTGACAGTTGAAAAGTCACCAATTAATTAAAAAAATATGGCTTATCATTTTAAATTTATTAATTAATCAATTACATATAAATAAAGTCACCTGTCTTTGAGATAATTGCAAAAAACGTATATAATGAATTGGAAAAACCACACTTGTTAAAAAGAAAATTAACTAGAACCAACATAACCTTTTTAGATCATGACATGCTACTTTGTTGTTGTTAGTTGTGAAGTCGTGTCTGACCCATCGCGACCCCA